TTGTAAGCAACACTTTTGCCCCAGGTGGAAGTGGTTGCCAAAATGGGGACAGGATGAAGTCAGTCTCAACAGGTTCTCCCTGCTCTAGAGACTGAACACTATGATTAGAGCCAACTTCTTCATCCTGATTGGAATCCACTAAAATCAGACTGACTAGGTAGAGGTTCTTGTAATCTTCTTACTGCCTCATTATCTAGACTATCCAATAACTTACTTTTCTTAGCAGAAGCAGGTTGGTATAATTGGGGATTAAGTCTGTTATCTATCACCCATACTTCTAAACCTTCTGCCAACTTGGCATCTTTCCAGTGTTTTACATTTAGAAATTTACTCTTCAAGGCCTTATTCCACCTATATTTAATTTGGATCTGCAATAATTCTTTCTTATCTCCTGAAGCTTGATTAATTTTTTAATTTTTATCATAAACTGCACAATCCATTGGTGAAAACAGGTTGTTTGAGATACAGCTGCTATGAATTATGCAAGCCAAATGAGGATCTAACTTGGTAATCCAAGCTGCTCTACATCCTTGATAATTACATGTAGTAAGGTCCCCTTGGGTCCTGGGAAAAATACTACTACTGAATTCACATCCTCTACTGATGGACATTTCGTTGTATGTAGTGTATGAGCTGAACTTTCCAGTCCTTTAGCTCCTCACTCAACACTAGTTCCCCAGGGACAGTTCCATGGTCTCCTCCATTTGCACATCACTCATCTAAACTAGGAAGAACACTATGACTCACATTGTACCATCATAATAATACAAGGCAGATTACATTGTCTCAGAAACATAATCAATATGACTCTTAACTGATATTTTAGTAAGTTGTTTCATTAATATCTCTTATTGTTATATAAGTCACCAGTGTGACAATCATAAACAACTAACTCACTATATCATAACACCTCTCCCTTCTCTTATCTCAATTATCCCTCAGCTCAATGAACTTTGTTTCTTAATCAAACTAACTTCATTTAGAGCATTTTTATTTTGAGGGATCATCAAGTTCTCTATTTGCTGCCAATCAGGGTGCACAGACATCATCTCTTCAATTAATTAGCTTTACCGAAAGTGCCTGAGTGAGCATTATCACCCAGAAGGGTTGACAGTGCTGAGCTGCTACCATAGCGCTCCTTTGGCTAACATCGTTCACCATTACTCTAGCAAGATGTATTGGGTTGATAATTCCACTCTGAATGGTTCTCATATAACCCATACTGAGGATACAAGGTCCATCCCAACATAACTCTAGATTGCTAGTAAGACCGGAAGGTCAACGTCCAGAAGGATCACTAAGGCTAGCAGCCTCACTGAAGTTCGCCTGGAAAGGCTGAACCCGCTACTGAGGACATCAATAAAATAGAGTTATGAAGAGAAAAACTGAACCCTGTCCTTCATGCTGAGAGTTATTAGAAAACCCAGGGCGGAAGCCAGAAAAGTTTTGTGAATGAACATGAGAAGAGGGAGAGAGATGGCCACATTTATCATGGTATTCATACTAGCGCGTGTATAATTGGGGTTAGGGACCCAAATCCAGGTCATAAGTCGAAAATGCAAAAAAATAATACTTAGAAAATCTAAAATGAAATACTGTACAGTACAGTAAAAGTAATCAATAATGAAGAATGAATACTGTCACTGTGCACTTACCTTTAATGTAGTCAGCTGAATGCACACGGGGCCCCCATAATTTTTTAATTATACATTGAGACTACATTAACAGGATGAAGCAGAGGAGGAGACAGGGCTGGGTGGGTCATCAATGTCGCTTTCTTCAGGGAGGTTAACATACAGGGGAAACTTGCTTGTTGAAGGTATTGGATCATCTTTAGGGAGTGAAGAGGCAGCACTGGTGGGGCGTGAGGAGACAGCAATGGGGGACTTCTTAAAATATATGTCCAATTTAGACTGCACAGTTTGCCTTTTCTTTTCATTGTAAATCTCCCTGTAGCAAGCAAGTGCATCTTGGATCATTCTGTCAACTTTTGCAAAACGCTCAACATTTTGATCCATTCCGTCAAACATTTGCATCCCCTTATTAATTGTAGCAAATGCCTTTGCCATTTGTTTCACTGAAAATTTTTTTGGGGGGTGCAGGTTCTTCTACATTTTTACTCTCTTCTTCCTCTGCAATTTTCTGTGCATCCAGTTCAATAAAATCCTCGTTACTTAGCTCTTCTGCTACACTTTCAACCAATTGCACAACATCTTCATTATCAATTTCTAAATCCAGCTGTTTACCCAACTCCACTATCTTGTTACTAATCTCAGAAATTACTTCATCTTCATTATATCCTCTGAAACTGTTCACATATCTTTTCAGGACTTTCTTCCATATTCCATTCATGCACTGACCTGTAACCTCATCCCATGCTGCAGCTATGTTCTTTATACATTTCAAAATGTTGTACTCCTTCCAAAACTCTCTTGAGCGTTTTCTCACCTTCAGTAGCAGCAACAGCCTGAGCGAAGGTCGTACATAAATAATTCGCTTTAAAAGCAGCAATAGCACCTTGATCCATGGGTTGGATGATAGAGGTAGTGTTAGGTGGACTATTGAGCGTACCCTTTTCATCACTTTGTAATCAACCTAGCCATGCCTATGTGTGTTTCTGATATTTACCATAACATTATATATATATTTAGTGGGTCTAAATGGTCGTAAAATGGGAAAATTGGGGTTGGGTCTTGGGTGCCTGGAACCAATTAGAATAAATCCCATAGGTTCTGTACTTTAGTTATCGCGTTTTTTGTTATCACACACTTGGCGCGGTCCCAATTAGGCGTAGTAATCAAGGGATGACTGTACACGCTTTTGTATCTGATCTTCCATCCATGTTCCAAGTAATTTTTCCATCATGAATAGGACCTTGTCTTTTCTTCGTTATTATTGTTACCTTTATAGGTGCTGATCCTTTCACTACCTCACGAATACTTTCCTTGTCCTTCAAAATTGTCGATATGGTCGAGTGCGAGAAGCCTAGGTCGCGTGAAATGGTTGCTACCGTTTTTCCATTTTCATATTGCATTATTGTCTTCATTTTCGTCTCAAAAGTACTTGACTGTCTCCTTTTCTTATGAGCACCACCAGCATTCTCACTTCTACGCTTGCCAGTCATTCTGAAATTAATGATCTACCTTTAAACACTCTGGTAGATTTGTCACATTCACTTCTTTAAATTTGTCTTTCTGCGAAAGAATTGTCGACACAGTTGATGCCAATATGTCATATTCTTTACTAAGCACATTTGTTCTAATGCCTTCTTCATGTTTCTTAATGATTTCCTGTTTCACCTGAATTGAAATCGCCTTTCTAGATTTCTTTGGACCCATTCAGGGTTCAATACAATTTCACCACTAAAATTTTAAGTTCATTTGCTGTAATTAAAGATAATTTTATTTAAATCAACACTGCACTGCGCTATATATTATCAATATGTTAAATAAATTTCAGAATGACCAATAATTGTAATGTAAAAATGTAAAAATGCTCTGTGTTCAAGAGAGCCACAAGCAAGATGTTACCTCCACTGAGCAGAGACACAAACAGACGCCTTGGGGTTAGTGAAGTGGCTGATGGGCGCACCAGAAACTAGTTCCCTGTACTGCAATTATGTTAAATATGTGTTAAAATTACTAATAATTTTAATATAAAACTTGTGAAAATATTGAATAGCACAACCTTCTTGATATTTACTCCAATGGGAACGAATTTAAGCCCTAGAACCGATTACTGTATTGGCGGACTAATCTACCAGCCGATGAGGAAGTGAAAACATGTTGACATGTTTTCGTAAGAATTTCGTTAATCAAATTTTTGTTTGTTAACCGAATTGAAGATTCTTATGGAAAGTAATTCGTTAACCGAAGCGTTCGTTAACTGAGGGACCACTGCATCTTAATATGATTCATATCATATTCCTATACTGTAATTCAATAGTCAGTAATTTATGACGAAACCGCTACCACCAGAAGGAGTTGTTCTATTTTGTTCATTTTACCACAGATGTTCATTATACAAATTATATATATTTTTTCTTTTAATTAATACCTGTACTGTATCCCGTCAACATTACATTACATAACATTTTAAAATTCAGTATGGATTAAGAAGGGGGGGGGGGGAGAGACCCATGGGGGGAGAAACTGACCGATGACCCCCCAAAAAGATTCGTCTCCCACTCCTGCCTCTTGTCATTCCTACTATAATTTGACACAATATTGTTTAATTGTTATTTATTAGTTGGTAAAATTGTGGGGGCAACTCTACCATCATACTATAGTGTTAAATAAGTATTTCTCCTCAATCCCGTTTTGATATTTCATGACGGCTTTGAGCACAATTTGTGACAATTTCCAAGAATATAACCCTCGCAAATACAGAGAGATAAGGGTACTGTACAGATGCAGGCATGGGGTGAGCATCTTTGTGTGCTCCGTGTAAACGGTCCAATTGAATTTCATTAATTTCTAAACTGCATGGGTCTATATGCATGGAAAAAACATGCTCATGTGAAGAGGGTCTCACACCAGATTATGAGAGCTGCTCCTAGCCCACCCAGTTTGAAATATTACTGAAGGGCATTGTAATTTTTCATTTGCAAATAAGCGGGGTACGGTTTGTGAATTTCGATTAGGGGTATTAAAATATCAATTGCAGATAAACTGGGGTTGGAAATAGCGAGGTACATATTCCTTTACTCTGCTGTACTTCTCAGTTTTTGATGCATTGTGTGTAAAAGTAAATTGCTACAGCCACCATATATAAAACATAAGATTACCCTGGATTTGGTGTAAAAGATTAAGGGAATTTGACTCCCTTCCAAATATAGTATGTAAAATTTATAGGATTTTAAATACAGTAATATCATAGATTTAATGTAAGTCATAATAATAATAATGATGTTACAGTACTTACTAGGAGTACTTTTCATATTTTCAGGGCTGAAAATTATATTTTTATTTATTCTTCTCATAAACTTGTCCTTTGAACAGGAACTTTGACCATGTGGTGTTATTGGCTCTGAATACAGTCGCTATGCGCTACACCACTGCCATCCTGCAGAAACGACTCACACTTAAGACACAAGAGGACCGAAAGTTGACGGCTGACCGTATTACAGCTGTAAGTGTTTTCTGTAAGAGGACATGGTGCCTAGGAGTGCTTATTGGTGCCTAGGAGTGCTTATTAGTGCCTAGGAGTGCTTATTAGTGCCTTGGAGTGCTTATTGGTGCCTAGGAGTGCTTATTGGTGCCTTGGAGTGCTTATTGGTGCCTAGGAGTGCTTATTGGTGCCTTGGAGTGCTTATTGGTGCCTTGGAGTGCTTATTGGTGCCTAGGAGTGCTTATTGGTGCCTTGGAGTGCTTATTGGTGCCTTGGAGTGCTTATTGGTGCCTAGGAGTGCTTATTGGTGCCTAGGAGTGCTTATTGGTGCCTTGGAGTGCTTATTGGTGCCTAGGAGTGCTTATTGGTGCCTTGCAGTGCTTATTGCCTTGGTAGTATGCCAATTGCCTTGGAGTGCTTATTGGTGCCTTGGGGTGCTTTGGTGCAGTTAGAGTGCTTATTAGTGCCTTGGAGAGTGCTTATTGGTGCCTTAGAGTGCTTATTGGTGCCTAAAGTGCTATTGGTGCCTAGAGTGCTTATTGGTGCCTAAGGTATTATTGGTGCCTAATAGTGTATGGTGCCTGTTACTTATTGGTGCCTAGTGTGGTCTAAAGTGCTTATTGGTGCCTTAAGTGTATTAGTGCCTTAAAAGCTTATTGGTGCCTAAGAGTGCTTATTGGTGCTGTAATGCTTATTGGTGCCTAGAGTGCTTATTGGTGCCTTGAATGCTTATTGGTGCCTTGGAGTGCTTATTGGTGCCTAGAGTGCTTGTTGAGTGCCTAGCTGTTGGTGCCTAGGAGTGCTTGTTGGTGCCTAAGAGTGCTTGTTGGTGCCTAGAAGTGCTTATTAATTGCCCTAGGAGCACATTGGTGCCTAGGAGACTTGTTGGTGCCTAAAGGTCTTATTGTTAGGATGCTTTAGGTGTTTATTGTTGCCTAGAGTGTTTATTGGTTCAGGGTGTTAAATTGGTGCCTAAGAGTGCTTTGGTGCCTAGTGCTTATTGGTGCCTAGGAGTGCTTTGGTGCTAGGTGCTTATTGGTGCCTAGGGATGCTTATGGTGCCTAGGAGTGCTTGTTGGTGCCTAAAGTGCTTATTGGTGCTAGGAGCTTTTTGGTGCCTAGGAGCTTGTTTGGTGCCTAGGAGTGCTTGTTAGTGCCTAGGAAGTGTTATTGGTGCCTAGGAAGGCTTTGGTGCCTAGGGAGAGCTTGTTGGTGCCTAGAGTGCTTTGGTGCCTAGGAGTGCTTTGGTGCTAAGAGTGCTTTGGTGCCTAGAAACTTGTTGGTGTCTAGGAGTACTGATGCTAAGAGTGTTTATTGGTGTCTGGAGTACTTGTTGATGCCTAGGAAGTGTTTATTGGTGCCTAGGGTGCTTGTTAGTGCCTAGGAGTGCTGTTAGTGCCTAGGAGTGCTTATGGTGTCTAAGTACTTGTTGATGCCTAGGAGTGTTTATTGGTGTCTAGGAGCACTTGTTGATGCTAAGGAGTGTTTATTGGTGCCTAGGGTGCTTGTTAGTGCCTAGGTGCTTGTTAGTGCCTAGGAGTGCTTATTGGTGTCTAGGAGTACTTGTTGATGCCTAGGAGTGTTTATTGGTGTCTAAGGTGCTTGTTGATGCCTAGGAGTGTTTATTGGTGCCTAGGAGTGCTTGTTAGTGCCTAGGAGTGCTTGTTAGTGCCTAGGAGTGCTTATTGGTGTCTAGGAGTACTTGTTGATGCCTAGGAGTGCTTGTTGGTGTCTAGGAGTACTTGTTGATGCTAAGGTGTTTATTGGTGCATAGGAGTGCTTGTTAGTGCCTAGGTGCTTATTGGTGTCTTGAGTACTTGTTGATGCCAAGGGTGCTTGTTGGTCCCTAGGAGTGTTTATTGGTGCCTAGGAGTGCTTGTTGGTCCCTAGGAGTGTTTATTGGTGCCTAGGAGTGCTTGTTGGTGCCTAGAAGTGTTTATTAGTGCCTAAGTGCTTGTTGATGCCAAAGGTGCTTGTTGGTGCCTAGAGTGTGTTGGTGCCTAGAAGTGTTTATTGGTGCCTAGAGTGCTTGTTGATGCCAAGGAGTGCTTGTTGATGCCAAGTGCTTATTGATCCCTAGGATGTTTATTGGTGCCTAGGAGTGCTTATTGGTGCCTAGGGGTGTATTGGTCCCTAGGAGTGTTTATTGGTGCCTAGGAGTGCTTATTGGTGCCTAGGAGTGCTTGTTGATGCCTAGGACTGCTTGGTGGTGCCTAGGAGTGTTTGTTAGTGCCTAGGATTGTATTTTGGTGCTTATGAATGTTTGGTGGTGCCTAGGAGTGTGTGGTGGTGCCTAGGAGTGTTTGGTGGTACCTAGGAGTGCTTGGTGGTACCTGGGATTGCTTTTTGGTGCCTAGGAGTACTTGGTGATACCTAGGACTGCTTGGTGGTGCCTAGGAGTGTTTGTTGGTGCCTCTGAGTGTTTGGTGGTAGCTAGGTGTGCTTATTGGTGCGTAGGAGTGCTTGTTGATGCCTAGGATTGTATTTTGGTGCTTATGAATGTTTGGTGGTGCCTAGGAGTGCGTGGTGATACCTAGGACTGCTTGGTGGTGCCTTGGAGTGCTTTGTGGTGCTTAGGAGTGCTTGTTGGCGTCTAGAAGTGCTTGGTGGTACCTAGGAGTGCTTGGTGGTATCTGGGATTGCTTTTTGGTGCCTAGGAATGCTTAGTGGTACTTGGGATTGCTTGTTGGTGCCTAGGAGTGCTTGGTGATACCTAGGACTGCTTTTTGGTGCCAAGGTGTGCTTGTTGGCGTCTAGAAGTGCTTGGTGGTACCTAGGAGAGTCTTCAGGGTACCTAGTAGTGTTTGGTGGTACCTAGGAGTGCTTCATGGTACCTAGGAGTGTTTGGTGGTACCTAGGAGGGCTTAGTGGTACCTAGGAGTGTTTGGTGGTACCTACGAGTGCTTCATGGTACCTAGGAGTTTTGGTGGTACCTAGGAGTGTTTGGTGGTACCTACGAGTGCTTCAGGGTACCTAGGAGTGTTTGGTGGTACCTAGGAGTGCTTTATGCTACCTGGTTTGCTTGTTTGTACCTAGGAGTACTTGTTAGTACCTTGGAGTACTCCATAGTACCTAGGAGTGTTTGGTGGTACCTAGCAGTGCTTCAGAGTACCTAGTAGTGTTTGGTGGTACCTAGGGTGTTTGTGGTACCTAGAGTGCTTCAGAGTACTTAGTAGTGTTTGGTGGTACCTAGGGTGTTTGGTGGTACCTAGGAGTGCTTCAAGAGTACCTAGTAGTGTTTGGTGGTACCTAGGAGTGATTCATGGTACCTAGAGGTCATGGTACCTAGGTGTTTGGTGGTACCTAGGTGTTTGGTGGTACCTAGGGGGTTTAGTGGTACCTAGGAGTGTTTGGTGGTACCTAGGGTGTTTAGTGGTACCTAGCAGTGTTTGATGGTACCTAGGAGTTTGGTGGTACCTAGAGTGTTTGGTGGTACCTAGGAGTGTTTGGTGGTACCTAGGAGTGTTTGGTGGTACCTAGGGTGTTTGGTGGTACCTAGGGGTGTTTGGTGGTACTAGGGTGTTTGATGGTACCTAGGAGTGTTTGGTGGTACCTAGGGTGTTTGGTGGTACCTAGCAGTGTTTGATGGTATCTAGGAGTGTTTGGTGGTACTAGCAGTGTTTGATGGTATCTAGGAGTGTTTGGTGGTACCTAGGAGTGTTTGGTGGTACCTAGGGTGTTGGTGGTACCTAGGAGTGTTTGGTGGTACCTAGCAGTGTTTGGTGGTACCTAGAGTGTTTAGTGGTATCTAAGTGTTTGGTGGTACCTAGGGTGTTTGGTGGTACCTAGCAGTGTTTGGTGGTATCTAAGAGTGTTTGGTGGTACCTAGGAGTGTTTGGTGGTACCTAGCAGTGTTTGAGTGGTACCTAGGAGTGTTTGATGGTATCTAGGAGTGTTTGGTGGTATCTAGGGTGTTTGGTGGTATCTAGGGTGTTTGATGGTACCTGAGTGTTTGGTGGTACCTAGGAGTGTTTGATGGTACCTAGGGTGTTTGGTGGTACCTAGGGTGTTTGGTGGTACCTAGGTGTTTGGTGGTACCTAGGAGTGTTTGATGGTATCTAGGAGTGTTTGGTGGTACCTAAGGGTGTTTGGTGGTACCTAGGAGTGTTTGATGGTACCTAGGAGTGTTTGGTGGTACCTAGGGTGTTTGGTGGTATCTAGGAGTGTTTGATGGTACCTAGGAGTGTTTGGTGGTACCTAGGAGTGTTTGGTGGTACCTGAGTGTTTGATGGTACCTAGGTGTTTTGTGGTACCTGGAGTGTTTGGTGGTATCTGAGTGTTTGATGCTACCTAGGAGTGTTGGTGGTACCTAGGGGTGTTTAGTGTACCTAGGAGTGTTTGGTGGTACCTAGGAGTGTTTGGTGGTACCTAGGAGTGTTTGATGGTACCTAGGAGTGTTTGTGGTACCTAGGAGTGTTTGGTGGTACTCTAGGAGTGTTTGGTGGTACCTAGGGAGTGTTTGGTGGTACCTAGGGTGTTTGGTGGTACCAGGGAGGTTTGATGGTACCTAGGAGTGTTTGGGGTACCTAGGAGTGTTTGGTGGTACCTAGGAGTGTTTGGTGGTACCTAGGAGTGTTTGTGGGTACCTAGGGAGTGTTTGGTGGTACCTAGGAGGTTTGGTTGTACCTAGGAGTGTTTGGTGGTACCTAGAGTGTTTGGTGGTACCTAGAGTGTTTGTGGTATCTAGGAGTGTTTGGTGTTCCTAGGAGTGTTTGGTGGTACCTAGGAGTGTTTGGTGGTACCTAGGAGTGTTTGGTGGTACCTAGGAGTGTTTGGTGGTACCTAGGGAGTGTTTGGTGGTACCTAGCAGTGTTTGGTGGTACCTAGAGTGTTTGGTTGTACCTAGGAGTGCTTCAGGTACCTAGGAGTGTTTGGTGGTACCTAGGAGTGTTTGGTTGTACCTAGGAGGCTTCAGGGTACCTAGGAGTGTTTGGTGGTACCTAGAGTGTTTGGTGGTACCTAGGAGTGTCTGGTACCTAGGAGTGTTTGGTGGTACCTAGGAGTGTTTGGTGGTACCTAGGAGTGTTTGATGGTACCTAGGAGTGTTTGGTGGTACCTAGGAGTGTTTGTGGTACCTAGGAGTGTTTGGTGGTACCTAGGAGTGTGTGATGGTACCTAGGAGTGTTTGGTGGTACCTAGGAGTGTTTGATGGTACCTAGGAGTGTTTGGTGGTACCTAGGAGTGTTTGGTGGTACCAGGAGTGTTTGGTGGTACCTAGTAGTGTTTGGTGGTACCTAGGAGTGCTTCATGGTACCTAGGAGTGTTTGGTGGTACCTAGGAGGGCTTATTGGTACCTAGGAGTGTTTAATGGTATCTAGGAGTGCTTCAGGGTACCTAGTAGTGTTTGGTGGTACCTAGGAGGGCTTAGTGGTACCTAGGAGTGCTTCATTATACCTAGAAGTGCTTGGTGGTACCTAGGAGTGTAGTAGTACCTAGGAGTGCTTCAGGTACCTAGGAGTGTTTGGTGGTACCTAGGGTGTTTGGTGGTACCTAGTAGTGTTTGGTGGTACCTAGGAGTGCTTCATGGTACCTAGGAGGTTTGGTGGTACCTAGAGGGCTTATTGGTACCTAGGAGTGTTTAATGGTATCTAGGAGTGCTTCAGGGTACCTAGTAGTGTTTGGTGGTACCTAGGAGGGCTTAGTGGTACCTAGGGTGCTTCATTATACCTAGAAGTGCTTGGTGGTACCTAGGTGTTGGTAGTACCTAGGAGTGCTCAGGGTACCTAGGAGTTTTTGGTGGTACCAAGGAATGCTTGGTGGTACCTAGTAGTGTTTGGTGGTACCTAGGAGTGCTTCAGGTACCTAGGAGTGTTTGGTGGTACCTAGGAGGGCTTAGTGGTACCTAGGAGTGCTTCATGATACCTAGGAGTGCTTCAGGGTACCTAGGAGTGCTTGGTGGTACCTAGGAGTGCTTGGTGGTACCTTGGAGTGCTTTATGGTACCTAGGAGTGCTTATTGGAACATAGGAGTGTTTGGTGGTACCAAGGAGTGCTTGGTGGTACCTAGGAGTGCTTGGTGGTACCTATGAGTGTTTAATGGTACCTAGTAGTGTTTGGTGGTACCTAGGAATGCTTCATGGTACCTAGGAGGGCTTAGTGGTACCTAGGAGTGCTTCATGATACCTAGGAGTGCTTCAGGGTACCTAGGAGTGCTTGGTGGTACCAAGGAGTGCTTGGTGGTACCTAGGAGTGCTTGGTGGTACCTAGGAGTGCTTGGTGGTACCTATGAGTGTTTAATGGTACCTAGTAGTGTTTGGTGGTACCTAGGAATGCTTCATGGTACCTAGGAGTGTTTGGTGCTACCTAGGAGTGCTTGTTGGTGGCTAGGAGTGTTTGATGGTACCTAAGAGTGCTTGTTGGTGGTACCTAGGAGTGCTTGGTGGTACCTTGGAGTCATTGTTGATACCTAGGAGTCATTGTTGGTACCTAGGAGTGGTTCACAGTACCAAGGAGTGCTAGTTGAGACCTAGTAGTGCCTTGTGGTACCTAGGATTGCTTGTTGGCCATAAAAGTAGATATCCAGGTGGGAAGAAGAGAATTCCATAGGTTGGTTTCACAGCTTAACTTGTTATTGATAGCACACCTCTTTCCCCCTTTCTCATCTTATTACATATTTTTTCAGGAGGCATTAAAGCTGTCAAGTGTGTTTGAGCAAGTCGCCCCAGATCTTGTGAAGTTTGACTCTCCATGTGAAGTGATGAAGGGATTGGCTGAAGTAATAAAAGTATCTGATGTTGAATTTATCAGCTTAGAGTTGCACCGATTATTGCGAAGGTTAGTCACCATCTAATCTTTAATGTTAATATACAAATCTAATTTATAATCACGTTTTGGGGGGAAATTAGCAGAGCTGTGCCACACCACAACTCATTATCTCCCCATGGTCAAACTTCAGACCTTCATCTCATTTTGAGGGATATCTGTCACGAGGGAGTAAACTGTAGTGTTCTTTGTGTTGCCTCCGGTCACATTACCTTGGAATCACACTTCATTGGCTTGTTGTAAGTTTTCAGAATCAAGCTCACTTTTCAAACACAGTTGTACCCTTCTGGTTTCATCTTAGCGATTTCTCATATCTGCAGTGCCTGCCAGAAAACTTTCATAACGCGGTTCATCTACCCATATCTGGCAAGAGTGTCCGGCTCGAGACGCTATTTTTAGATTCCGCCACCGCTGCGCCTGCCTCGCCTCTCCCTCCTCCTCCCTCCTCCCCTCCGCCTCCGCCTCCCTCCGCTGGGCAAGCAGCCTTGGTAAAGTTCTCCAGTGTGTGTCTTTGTTCGCGTTATCACTGCGTCATATGACATATCGGACTGTGATTGGCCATGCATCCCTACCCCCTCTGCTGCTAGCTGTAATTGGTTTAAAGTAATATGGCGTGTCCACCGGGAGGAAGAGGGAGGAAAGACTGCCTAGTTTCATCCCTCAGGTCACCCGTGTGTACGATGCATCCATTGTTCTGTGAAATGGCTTCCGCCAGACTACCACCGCCACCAGAAGAAACCTTCCTACCTGGACAGCCGCCCTAAGCCCAAGAAGACACACCGTGGCCTAAGTTCAAGTGAAATACCAGATCATTGATTTGGAGAAAGGAACACGTCAAGCTGATCTAAGCGGCGCCAGCATGGCGTCCAACGAATCTCCGATTACTTTTAATGAAAGGATGCAGCCAAGATTAAAGAACGCATGAAAATCACAAAGTCTGCAGGTGCTTCAATGATCAAGTATTGCCAGAACAGGGTGCTGGTAAAGGTGGAAAATTTGCTGGTGAGTTACTTGATTAGTCAGGCAAGGCGGAACATGGCGGTCGACAGCGCTCAGTGCAGAATGCGCCGTGAACTTTCACGGCAGTGTCACGTAAGCTGGGAATTGCAGAGCCCAAACCTTCAATGCTTCCTCTGGTTGGCTGCATAGGTTTGAAAGAGGAACAAGATCACAACATCAACATTGGTGGTGAGAGCGGTGCTGACCTGTGGCGGCTAGAGATTCCTCGTTCTTCGTGAGGTTATGGAGGAAGGATAGTACACTGACGACCAGGTGTTTAACATGGACGAATCTGGTCTTTTCTGGAAACTACCTTCAAGACCCGTTGTCCAGTCTGCCAGCATGGTAAGGGTTCGGAAGTTGCAGAAGGAACGCATCACCGTCCTCTTTACCACCAATGCCTCGGTACCTGTAAACCAAAGTTATCGATTCACACAGCCCGTAAACCGCCGCCTATAAGAATATGGACATGAAAAAGCTTAATGTCCACTGGCTCAAAGGCATTACGCGCTCCTGCTCCGGAGCAGCCAGGTCAACTATTAGGATGGCCCATACCAACTCCCTCTGAACCCTCCTCCCCACGGAATATCAACAAGTTCTGGCAAGTTAAAATTTCATTTAGGAAGGAATGGAACCAGTGTTAAACAGAGGTGAACAGTGCTTAAGTCAGTGAGAACAACTCAGCAGTAACAGTCGTACCCAAGTTAACCACACAGTGAGGTCCCAGGTACCAGTGAAAACGGCCCGTGAGACCCAACAACAACCAGCAATGTGTTAATCCGTCTCGATGGAAGGCCTAAGACCAAACCTCACTCATATAACACCATCTGTGGGAATTTCCTACACCACATGTCCTCATAACACCAAATGTGAGGAATTACTACACCACGTCAAGTCCATCACACCATCTGTGAGGAATTACTACACCACTGAGGGTCCTCATAACACCATCTGAGGGTACTACACCGTCAGGCCCTCATAACACCATCTGTGAGTGAATTACTACAGTACACCACGTGATGCCTCATAACACCATCTGTGAGGAGTTACTACACCACGTGAGGCCCTCATACCATCATGAGGTAATTACTACACCATGAGTCCCTCTAACACCATCTGTGAGGTAATTACTACACCACGTGAGGTCCCTCATAACCCCATCTGTGAGGTAATTACTCCACCACGTGAGGCCCCTCATAACACCATCTGTGAGGTAATTACTACACCACGTGAGGTCCCTCATAACACCATCTGTGAGGGAATTACTACACCACGCCAGGTCCTCATATAACACCATCTGTGAGGAGTTACTACACTACGGTTCCTCATAACACCATCTCGAGGAATTACTACACCACGCCAGGTCCTCATAACACCATCTGTGAGGGAGTTACTACACCACGTGGTCCTCATAACACCATCTGCGAGAAATTACTACGCCATCAGGCCCCCATAACACCATCTGAGGGAACTACTACCCACGTGAGTTCCTCCTAACACCATCTGGGAGGAGTTACTAACTACGAGTTTGCTGTTCAACACCTACATTAATCTGTAGTATGTTCACTGTATGTTCCTTTACCTTTCTCTAATGAAGGCTTTTGTTAAACCACCAATGTATGTAATAAATCATTTATGTCCAAGTATATTTTCAGCCTTCGGCTGCAGAATTTTTCAATAAACCATTAATTATTATTATTATTTTTATGTTTCTTCTGTCCCTCTTCTGGTTTGGACGAGTGATTTGTTCCTCACGTGAAGAAATTCTTCTGAGCAACAGAATGTTCCATTCAACATTTTTGTTGCCTTTGACAACGCACCTGGACACTCTCGCCCATACTTATGGATCGCACCCCAATGTAAAAGTGGTCCTCTTCCCAACACTATGTCATTAATCCAGCCCATGGACCAGAGTTGATCTGCATTGTGAAAGCTGCATTACTGCAAAGAAGTTCAAGCTCCTGAACGACTCTACCAACACCAAGGATGAGTTGCGTGCTGGGTGAACACCGACAGCGAGAGTAAAGCGACGAGACAAGGAAATGGGTGGCGACTCAAGAATTTCGCCAAACAGTTTTGGAAGAAGTTTAACTTCAAACAAGCTGTAGACTTCTTGGTGGAGGCATGGGATCAGCTGTCTATTGTTCGATCACACGCATGGAGACATGTGTTGCAGGGCATACCAGCTGAGAGGAGGAGTCAACCTGTGACTGGTGAGGTTCAGACTGTAGAGACCTGCCAGAGAGCTGTGCGCACAATATTACAGCTGAAGGCTTCCCGAGACCACCAAGGACATCCTGGATGTGATCAGAGATCCTGAAGTGACTGCGTCGAAAATGTTGGAAGATGATCACGCCAGTGAAGAGGAAGAAGGAAGGTATTCAAGAACACAAGTTAAGTCATAGTGATATTGGTGAGTGTGCAGAGAATATGAAGTCCTTCCTTTACAAATGGACCGCCTAGAAGTCCTTCACCCGGCTGGTGCAGGCTATGGAGCCGGACATCATGGTGTATCAGGACAACATTAAATACCGGCCAAAAAAGCACGCCCACAACCCACACAGCCAGCCCAAGCCAGTGATAGTGACAGAAAGTGACTTTGAGGGTTTTGTCAGGGAAGCCCTGACAACTGTAGACAGTGATGGTGATGCACCTAGTAATGGTGATTCACCTGAGGGCCAATAATCTGCCCTCTGCCTCGAACCAGCTTCCATCCCAGTGTTTATTCATCTCTTCTACTAACGGTGTTCAACATAACTCTTAGTTTTCCTAACCTAACCTTTATTTTTCCTAACCTAACCTCTTCTATATTACTTGTTTGTTCATACCATCATAAAAGTTAAGATAATATTTTTTACAACATAGTTGTGTGTCGGCAGAGTGGAGTTTGGGGGTTGGGCCAGTCTCTATTGGAATTAATCCCATATGTTCTGTTGTTCACTTAACGCGGTTTTCACTTAACGTGGTACCCTGTGGGTTCAATTGACCGCGTTAAGCGGGGTACAACTGTATAAATAAAAACTTAATGATGACAATGAAATGAACTCTTGAATTATATACCCAGTAGCGTATTGAGTATCTTTTGCCCAGATGCATCTCCTTATAATTTGTCCATTTTAATTTAGTCATCATAGTCAAGGTTAAGTGGCATGGTTGCAACTTATGTAATTTTTTTATCATGGCTTAGTATAGGGACCATCAAGTTACTCAACTGGTTCCGAAACTTAACTATCACAGTCATCAAACCATCACAACTGCCGGACCCAGCCTTGAGCTTGTCGCTTCTTCAGAAATGTTATACAGTATAATAGTCTGGATTCGCGGTTTGTTTTATGTGTTGGTCATACGGCTGCTTGCTGGAATGGTATTTTAATTAAGCGGTAAATTTCATCCTTCGGCGTCGGCGGCTGGAAGTCCAGACGCGCCATTTTTACGCACAGTCCATTCTTGACCATCGCTGGGCGGTGCGGTGAGTGGTGTGCATTAGGCAGCTCGTACGTATCGCTGGCGTCATATGACGTGTCGGACTGTATTTGGGCCGCATCCCTACCACGCATTCCTCAGCCACTAGCTGTGATTGGTCTATTGTAACATTGACGTGCCCTGCCACCAGAGGGTAGAAGTCGCTGTCCTTGGCGGGCCTGTCTCATTGTTCTCAGTCGTATACAGTTCTCTCTTGTGCCCGTATTCCCTCACAATGGCTTCGCTGGACCCCCACCGAGAAAAACCTTGGAATTACCTGGACCAAGCCATGATAATGTGAAGGAAATCATCGAGTTGGGGAGAAAATTAAGCTCATCCGTGACAACGACCCAGACAAGCATCGGTATGAAGCATCTAATAACCATCTGACGAAAGTTATGGGAGCCGTATATCCAGATCTATCTAAACAACATCAATGCTAGTTAGTCAGCGTAGTATTGAGGACTTCTCGCCATAACCCACCACAGCCACAGCCAGCCCAAGTCAGTGATGGTGACAGTGAGGATATGGACTTTGAGGGTTTGTCTGGGGCCTGCAAACCTCTGCAGTAGTGAAAGTGATTCACGGAGGGCAACAAATCAACCTCTGCCTCAGAACCAGCTGCCATTCCACGTGTGCCGACCCAGCTTTTCTTCTAATGTAAGTGTTAAAAACCTAATATTATTAATATTTCTCTTAATTATTAATTGTTTTTGCATACCATCATAAAATTAGGATGTTATTTTTATTACAGCATTATGTGTTGTGTCGGAAAAAGGGGAGTTTGGGGATTCGGCCGATCTATTTCAATTAATCCCATATGTTTCTGTTATTTAGTTTGCGTTTCTCGTTTCTGGGACCTTCAAGGTTCAATTGACCGTAAATGCAGACTATACTAATACTAATCCTGTCTGGCCATGGAACAAGATAGTGATGAGATACAAGTTTGCCCCATTTCCGGGGCTGCCAAGAAAGCAATACAGTGACCCTCCGTTAACGAACTCAATCCTTCCCAGAAGGTTGTTCGTTAACGAAAAGTTAGATTAACAGAAAACCATTGTTTCAATGGGTTTTGAGTAATGGTTCAACTCACGAAATTTCCTAAATTCAACAAAAATGGTGAAAAGTTCCTTGCTGAGGTGTGGTTGTAAAGGCTCCTGGATGATGATGATGATGATGATGGGATTTAGAATGGGGGTGGAGGAGAAGGAAGAAGAGAAGGCATTGGGGTGGAAGAGAAGTCACCCCATGGCGCCATTTCACCCATAAAATTTTAGCTCTGGTGTAATTCAAGATTATTTTCTTTAAATCAACACTGCATTGCATTATATATTGTCAATATGTAAAATATATTTCAAAATGACCAATAATTTGCTTGGAAACACAGAAAAAAAGCTGGATGCCGCGCATTAAACTAGTCACTTTACCTTCAGTTATGTTCAATAATTGTTAAAATGACTAAAAAATTGAATATTAAACTTTTAAAATTATTGAATAGTATAAACTTCTTGATATTTACTAAAATAGTAAGGAATTTAAGCCCTAGAACCGATTAATGTATTGGCGGACTGATACTAAAGCTGGTTGCCCGGTCAGTGCAAGCGAAAACATGTTGAGGTCGGTTCGTAAGAACTTCGTTAACCGAATTTTTTTTCGTTAACCGAATTGAAGATCCTTATGCAAGGCAGTTCGTTAATCGAAATTACGTTAACCGAGGTGTTCGTTAAACGAGGGGTCACTGTACAGTAAAAATATTTGGAAGAAGACATATACTAATGAGGTATTGTATCTTTTACAGGTACCCAGACATGACAAGTGACCACCTTACTGCTCTGTTGCTGTTACGAGGTGATCTGGGTCGTTTAGATGTGAGGCAGCGTGTGGCAGAGATCATGGAGGAGATGAGAACCCAGCGAACAGGACCTGCTCCAAAAAGCATTTTCTCTCATATTCATATCTCAAATTCACTGTTTACATAAATACATAAAAGAATAATTTATGACATTTGTCAAAAAAAACGTGAGTTTCATATATATTTCCATTTGTTGTAAGTAAGGGTTACTGACTGAGTGACAGAGAAGAAATAGAAGAACAGCAGCTCAAGAAAGAGACTGTCATAAATATTAGAAATACAGTACTGTAGTACGTCGTTTCACCTGATTTATTATTACACAATGCCAGCTTGAACAGCAGAAATTCTGGTAAAACAAGTACACTTCCAGTACAGTATATATCACCTTGTGTATTTGGACAATAAAGTCTAGACATTTCTTAGAGAATGTGAAAAGGTTGCCTTACTATAAAATTATATATTTTTATCTAAAATACTGTACACCCTAAGTTAGCAGTACACTACATTAGTCGTTATGTGTTCATAAACATATCTTGTTAATATGGGTACACTACTGTACTGCTCAATTTACACACATCAGAAATTTGGTTATTCAACATAATTTACTGCATTACTGTACAGTGTTAGACAATTTATATGTTCAGTTTTTTACTTTAATGTGATACACGATTGGTAAACGTATTTTCATGCTCACTAACCTTTAACATTTTAGTAAACCCCTTTGTTTATCCATAAAAGAGGGTTGTCCACAAATTGAACCATTTTGATCTGTATTCTTAATTTTGAGAAGTTTGCTAGAAAGTTTTGTCTATTTTGTTTAAGATTTCACCCAGATGGAGGAATTTTGCCTTACACTGTACTCTACATGGTGCTTATTATTAAATAGTCGTAATTGAATGAACCTGATCGGACAGGTAAATTACCTGATAAAAATTTCTGATTTTTTTAATTTAATGAATTCTGAAAAGTACTTTAAAATACAGGGGGTCTATGACTTACGCCCGCCCACCGATACGAACCGGGTTACATTTTAAATTTACAGTATTTTATTTACCTGATGACTTAATTTTTACTTTCATGTACTGTATTTTGTCATTCTATTTCTTCTTTTCTCTTAAATTACCCGGTAAGTTATTTTAATTGTATATGAGGACTTAGGCTATGATATAGTGGGATTTTACACATTGTTCTGTAAGTACAGTATGCACAGAGCATGTGTTCCTACTTACGTACAAATCCGAACTAAGAACGTCCTCAGGAACAGAACCCGTTTGTAACCCAAGGACCCCCTGTACTGTATTCCTCATGTTATACGGTGGACATGAAGGAAGAAATATGATGGAATATCTGATATGTAGTTTATCCCTTAACTACAAAACTGTCACATTGTGCTGCTATTGTCACTCTGAATGCTTGCCAACCACACATCTGTTTGGGGCACAGTTGTCAAGGTTTCACATTATTCTCAGTCATAGTGAATTAAGTGTTATATGGAAGATGAACCATAATACAGTAGCTTGTAAATACTACAGTCCTCTACTGTGATTCCTTTAATATCATTTAATTTCTTGAACTCCACAAATATATATCCATACAAGACAAAATACTGTACAGTGGTAACTCGGTTAACGAACACAATTCGTTCCACAGAGTCGTTCGTTAACCGAATCCATTGTTTCAATGGGATTTTGGGTAATTGGTTCCAGCTCACAGAAAAGTACATACAAAGTAAAAAAAAAGTGCTGTAAAGTACACTTACTTTGAGGTGTATATGTAGAAGGTTCCTGGTTGATGATGATGATGGGAATTAGAAGTGGGGGTAAAGAAGGGAGAAGAGAAGGAAGTGGAGATGGAGGAGAATTCACCTTTCAGGGGACCCATGCTTGATGCCTCATTTCACCAATAAAATTTTAAGTTCACTTGGTGTAATTCAAGATTATTTTATTTAAATCAACACTGCACTGTGCTATATATTATCAATATGTTAACTAAATTTCAGAATAACCAATAATTTCAATGTAAAAATGCAAAAATATTCAAGACACCAACAAAATAGATGTTCACTCCACTGTCAACAAAGCCAAACTGATGCCTAGTGGCTGAGTCAAGCGGCTGATGGGCGCACAAAAAAATAGTTCCCTGTAGTGCATATATTATCAATATGTTAACTAAATTTTAAAATGACTAATAATTTTAATATAAACAATGCAAAAATATTTAAGAGCACAACTTTCTTGATATATACTCCACTGGAAACGAAAGTAAACATAGAACAGATTACTGAATTGGCATACTAGCCCATCAGCTGATGCTCTCAACAAAATGTGTTGTTCGTAAGGATTTCGTTAACCGAATTGAAGATCCTTATGGGAGGTAATTCGTAAAGCGAAATTTCGTTAATCGAACCGTTCGTTAACCGAGGGACCACTGTACAATACAGTATTTAGATACAAGTGTTCACCATTACAGGGGGTCCCCAGGTTACGAACGGGTTCCGTTCCTGAGGACGTTCTTAAGTCGAAAATGTCTTTAAGTTGAAACACATGCTATATGCATACTGTCCTAACAGAACAATGTTTAAAATCCCACTATATCATAGCCTAAATTCTTATATACATCTAAAATAATTTAATTTAAGAGAAAAGAAGAAATAGAATGACAAAATACAGTAAATGAAAGTAAAAAATAAGTCATCAGATAAATAAAATATTGTAAATTTCAAGTTTAACCTCGTTCGTATCACAGGCGTTTGTTTCGGGGACCCCCTGTATTGTCATTTTGTAGAATTATTCATTCTTTACTTTGGTGATTGTTTGAATATAAATTTTAATAAAACAGGCATATATTGTTGGTAACGTCATGAAAGTTAATGATCACATCAGAATTTTGATGGTCTTCAAAATCTGAGTCTTGGTATTTGTGAGCAGAGTGGTAAAGGATTTGGGATAAAGAGATCTAAGTACTGTATGAAATCTTATTTGTTTTAATAACCACTGAAAATACACCATCCATTTTACTCATACGTACATACTTTCAGTAAATTTTTAATGCTGATTTTTTTTTTCAAATCTGAAACTAAAATAGTTAAGCTCAAAAATTTTCAGTTCAAAAGACAAAAATTTTATGCCCCCAAGAATACACCTAAAGTGTCTCCTTGAATCGGCTGCTTGTGCAATTAACCAGTCCGTTCACATATATTTATATTTGGGTTTTAAGTAACGAAACCCAAACGGTAGTTCCTTTGTTTTATTATAAAAGGTTGTATATATAATTCCTGAGTGTAGATCAACCGTAAGTCTCACTGTCTAGGAGTGAATGAGAAGGGGACGGCGTTTATGTATTATAAACGTTAGGTCACGTCCTTACGATATAAGTTGAGGTGAGCTACTCACTGTGAGGACCTCGCAGTGCGGGTTTACAGAAATGCTGAGCTATGGGTCTCGCCCTCCTGGGAAAGTTGCCCGCTCACGTGTCCGACTCATGTCTTACTCATAGACAGTGGAAAGTTACAGGGGGTGAATCTGAATATAATCTCAGATGTATTGACCCATTTATATAATATGTTCTGTTGATGAGACAGGGGCCTATTACATCCTACATGGTCAGTGTTATTGACACATGATATTGACCCATTTTTATTGGGCAGTATGCACACCCCATACATGGCTTTATATTATTGCACAAAAATTTGTCAGTATGACACCCAAGCTCATAGAGGCAACATGGCAGACACACACATGGCATGTACAGTATAGCCATTGCATTAGCTGTTTGTGTTCAGAAGAAAAAAAGTGTCGGTGGATGAAACAATTAGACCGTACATGAAAAGATATCAATATAGCCATGGAAGTTTGTTAAAGGATATAAGTCAGAGAGCCAAAAGAGTTCTCACGTATTGCACAGTAAAACTCGACCAATTTTGATTCCTTCAATATGAGGCGCCGAGTGCGACAAGGTACCCAGCGCCACCCCCAAAATTTGAGTTATAGTATTATCTGTACTCCTCAACCTTTCCTCCATCTGCAGAAACACAAACTGTCCCAGTAGTACAATATTTGTAAGGCTGAGAGTCACATTAGTGAAGGTAGGTAAAAGCTCCTCTACAGTACATGATCTGCACCTTGAGGGGGACAGGAGCCCGCAGCCCCCAATTGTAGCCTCTCTCGCTCATAGCTACTCAATATTTTCCGGTTTATTTACTAGTGGGAGTACAGTAGGGTTGGGATATATTGCGAGACAGGTTCCAAGGATGTTTGCTATATACTAAATCACAATATATAATTACATGTAATCAATGGGAATGATAGGGTTAGGTTCTGGAAGCCAATAAAGTAACTAAACTTGACATAAAATGGCACAGTCTAAAGTTAGTAGATTATAGATTGCATTGCTTGAATCCTTGCAAGACAGTGAATAATTTGAATATAGACATCATATATTTTGCACAAGAGATAAAATTTTAGTCCTTTGTACTAAAATGTACTGAACAAACAATTGCTAAAATGTTTAAGTCTAGGGAAAACTATAGCATGTTTATATTCAAATTAATCACTATCTTACACGAATTCCAGAAATGTTAATTATATTTTCTTGAGTCAATTCAATGACATTTTATAAGAGAAAACGTAAACTCCCCCTATATGACAGATAAATAAATACCACTAGGTAACCTTGGCCCGGGGGGGGGAGGGGGCGGTTAGCGCCAGCTGTCAAAAACATCCGCTCCCCATCCACTTCCAGCAAGATTGAAAGTGGTTTTAGACTTGAAGTTTCTATCTTATAAAATGTCACAGACTAAAGTTAGCAGAATATAAATTGTATTGCTGGAATCTTTGCAAGACAGCGAATAATTTGAATGTAGACATCATATATTTTGCACAAGATATAAAAAAATTTCCACTAGTATTTTTGTGTTAATTTAGGGGATTTTTAGGAGTGTTTCTGACTTTATACAGTTTTTGGCTTTATGTGAGGTCCCAGGAACATAACCCCACGTAAGTTGTGAGTCTACTGTAAATAAATTTATCGCTATATATTGGAAAATGTCGATAATTTTGGTAGCCGTGATATAAAAAAAATTTTTATATAAATTCGCTATGCTATGTAATAACACTTGAACCTTTCTTTTTTTTTTTTTTGAACTGTCAAAAAGGAGGGAGTGAGAGCCAAAGAGAGAAAAATAAACAAAAGAGAGAAGGGACGGCGAGGAGGGTGGGAGTTAGGGCTTGTGGCACGTGGTGTGTCATGTACCTGCCTGTACGAGTAAAGAGTCTTACTGTGATTTTTCTAATAATAACTGATTTAAGTACAGTTGTACCCCACTTAACGCGGTCAATAGAACCCAGAGGGTCCCGTGTTAAGTGAAATCCGCGTTAAGTGAACAACAGAACATATGGGATTAATTCCAATAGAAACCAGCCCGACCCCCAAACTCCACTTTTTGAAGACACATAACTATGTTGTAGTAAAAATAACATCTTAATTTTATGATGGTACATGCACACAATTAATACTTAAGAGAAATAGAGAAATACAGTCGCCAAGTTAATGTCCATTCAAATAATGGACTCAACTCCCTCCCCCTCTTCTCACACTACACTGCTGGCTCTTCCCTCTCTGAGAAATTTTTAGGGGAAAACTACTAAATTTTAATAAATAATACCTCAAACTAAAGTTAGGATAATACAATTGACATTGCTGGATTCCTTGTAAGACCAGGAATATTTTGAATATAAATGTCATATATTTTGCACAAAAGATAACATAGTTACTCAGAGAAAACATTTTATCTAAAATTTGTATGTCTAATGCAAAATATATGATGTTTATATTCAAAATGATCACCAAATTATAAGAATTCCAGCAATGTAAATTATATTCTGGCCGGGTAATTGGTATGAATTTTATGAGCTAAATCAAATATCTTCAGTTAATAAAAAAAAAATATTCTTCAGACACTATCTGTCAATCAAAGTACCCCACC